GCACCATGTTTCGTGCGTTGGTCCCTTAGCCATCGTTTGACCAAGGTGGATCGGAGCCGCAATAAGCGCGATGAGACAGTCAGCCAGCGACAAGGCCACCACGTAACAGTTGAATATAGTTCTCAGTGTTTTGTCTTTGTAGATGCAGATGATGACAACAATATGTCCTCCAGCGGAAAGGATGATGATTATCAATAGCAGCACCGTGACGAAATTCAGTAAACGCAGAACAGTATCTGACGGAGAGACAAACTCATTGAAGTCTGTAAAGTTATTAGAGCTCGTATTTGGCCAGGCCAGCGATGCTGTACTGAAGTTCGCGTTGTACATTATAACGATATATACGACTTCTCAGTTGACCCTGAAGTGTCTGACTCTATGTTCAGTTGTCATCAAATGCCTACTTACTCTGATATTTGATCCACTTGAAGTTGCGAGTTAGTGCGTCTGGCCCTCAGCGGAATAAGCGTATGACCGCCGACCATTGGCCTTTTATTGACTTAAACGGCCACCATCTGTCCAATGGCAACGCTTGTTTATTGAGTTCAGACATTGTGAACAGTTATATATTCAAGATGTCGCATCGATACCATTTCAATCATAAACTGGTGATGACATAGGGTCTACATTCATTGCTGATAAAACATTATAGGCCTACGATAAAAATGAATTAAGATGAATATTATATTTAGTTTAAGATGAAAGCCCCTATTTCAATAAATAAATGTAAAAGCAAATAAATATTTTGTAAGATACAAGTATTTTCACTTGTTACACAATCAAAGAGAAAGAAAATTAATTATATGCCTAATCTATATTATGTAAAAGTGCAATTACTTGTATTATGTACTTCGTTTGATGCTAAAAAACTCAAACAGAACATAAACATTTGGGCATCTCTCTTAAAGAGATAAACACGCGCTTTCCTCTTATTCANGACTGATCGAGTGATTTATTCAGTTTGTCCCTTGGCATATCGACTTTATGTGAGTCGTTTAAGAATCTAGTAGAGGTGGTTTATATGTGTTACTGGCAACCCACGCTCCACCGATGCTCGATTCATATGTACCTTTAAGTAATAATCCAAATAAAAAATAACGTTTTCACGACGTTATCAGATGGTAACATGATGGTAATGGTTTAGAAGAACATTATGCAGTCATATGGCAACTGGCTGCGCGTAGGAAAATATTCAGAACGGAGCGCGAGCGCCGAGATGACGTCGCGGTCGAAATTTTGTTAAATGCGTAACCATCGCAGAAATTCATGAATTTTCCTTAATTGCCCTCATACGTGCTTGTGAAAAATTAAGACATGGTAGCAGAGTTCACTACGTGTCTCGACGTGTGCGATTCACTTGCAAGGAAGCAGAAATGAACGAGTTAGAACTCAACGAAATCGACCAACGGGTCAATTTTGGGCCGTAGGAACACTGTAACAATTTGAGATTTCTCCTTTATTAGAAATAACGCATCTTAGTAAAGTCCGTAAAATGTGGCTTTTTTAATAAGAAATATAATTGTCAAGTTTCATCGAAGTTTATTGTAGCAACTTTTTATGCGAGCTGTTGAAGTGCATTTTTTGACCCTATTCCGCTAGGTGTCAGCCATATTCTGACGTCATATTCTCCAATACAGAAGCAAGTGAAGGTCTGAAGATTTAATTAAATTTCGAAAAGTAAAATACTTTTCACTTATTTGCACAATAAAATGGCCTTTTTTAGTATAATAAATAATATCTGAGGTGTTAAACTAATTTTACCTTCATGGATGTCTTATTTCAAAAGACGGACGTTTATCGGTTTCGCACCTGCACAAAACAAGCCGAGTGATGCGAATCCTCCTCGAAATTTGCTGCCATAAGTTTAATCTGCACAATCCTGAGTTACGAGTAGACTGAACACAACATATTCATTCTGTTTACCATTGCGGACTGCGGCTCTGCTTACACTGTATGTTTTTTATTCATATTAAAAATAATGAAAAATAACCGACTTCTTATCATCTCGCAACGGTGAATTGAGAACGGCTTCGATAGTTTTTCCCGTGGTGTGGAGTTCTATGTGGAGTTCTATTAGTAGGATATAAGAACAAGAAAAATTTGGCTTTTAAGGAAAAAGAAGAACTATATTTCTCATGGAAATCCTAAATTTTCCAGCTTAAAATATTCTTCAAAAACTCATATATGTCAATTAAGTCAAATTTAAAATAATTTACCCTAAAATCTTGATTCTTCTATTATTCCCACACCCCCTTCATTTTGCAACTATGAACTAAGCCACCCAGCTATTTGAGATGTGGCATTTGAATCTTTGATACTTTTTGGATACATTTTTTCACTTGTCAAACTTGTTTACGAAAAGTTTTATAAATAGGTCAACGTTATATAACCTCCTGCATAAATGATATCAGAATACATAAACCCTATCTTAGGATCGATTTTTGTATAAATGATAAAATCCCACTGATGAAATCTAACAGAATAGGAGCAATTTTCAAAATGCACCTACAAAGTTACAGGGTTGCCTGTCGCATGCCATGCATCAAGGATAGGTGAAGGTCATTCAGGAAAATACTCACTGGGATGACTAGTTTAAATCGGTTGCGTTCGATTCAACATCGTTCTCAGGTTAGTTTTTATTATATTTGAATAAATTTTTTAACTTTCAGCAGTTTCAAGGTCAAGAAATTTCACTGTTTGGCAGAGGTATCGAGAAACGTCATTTTTTCAGTTTTATTTCGTTGACTGTTGAATTCGGGAGCAGTGTGACTATACTAGAGATAACGCATTCTTGAAACTTTGAAATTTTAAACCTATGATGATATTTTACATTATATCTAAAAATGAATAAAATTCAGGCTAGCAACTTTTTTCCTCGCACTATAGTCCCACCCCCTACGAGATACATTTTTTGGTTCATTTTTTTCCAAAGTCCTAAAATCGTGTCCGTATTTCATTCATAAATAATGCTCATTTCCGTAATGCTTTGAAACCACGGGTAAGAGTACATGCTTTTCTACATGTCTATAAAAAATGACTGCACAGAGTGCCCTTGTTAGATTTTAATAGAGCTTTATTAGCAAGGTATGGTTTTTCACGTCGGCCATCGCAGTTGTCCAATAACGGCGCTATTTCGTGACGCGGACTCACTGAAAAGTTTCAAATAACCGCCATGACGTTACGTTTTTCAGCCAGTTGCCATCTGACTGTATGGTAACGTTATGGGTGTTTTAACTCCATGCAAAATGGTGTACAGAAACGTTATAATTTGTAAAAAGATTCGAAGACCGTTTCTACAAAATTTTATGATACATGCAACGTCATTTTGTGGATTTTTATCAGCGTGTTTATAACATTGTGGGAAAACATTTTATGATGTTTTGAAAACATTTTTTATATAAATAACCAAAACACGTCTTATGCTGTTTGAACTACAGTTAGCGGTTAATTCCAAAATGGGCTTGGGCAAGTCGGCGACTAGAGCGGTGCAAACATTCGGACTATCGGTACCGAAATAACCAGCATGTCATGAAAGCTTAAATAAAGTATTATAATGAAAACCCCACTATCATCCCGATGTACATTACTTCCGGAAAAAAATAATAGATATCAATACCGTAACGCATATTATCAAAATATGGAGAAAGGTGTTTGAAAATAAAAATGATAGTTGTTTCGTGCCTTTAGTGAACTAGTGAATTTTCCTAACCTGCTTTTCAGAAATACATTCCAATAAACTTCCTCGCAAGGTCAGCTAATACAAGGATGAATAAATACAGCTGTAAAAAAGATAGTAGGAAGTCAACGATGTTGACAGTTCACGGTACCCTGTTATAGAAAGAGATATCTATAGCAGGTAAAGGTGACCGTGTCTTCGTGTGTGTGTGTGTGTGTGTGTGTGTGAGTACGACTAAAACAATTGAAACACTTAGCACCTAAAAGTTAAACAAATACACCCTATATAAAGCCGTCAAACGCGTCATACTGCTAAACACAAGCGTGTAACATGTTAAGAAGCTAAACATGTTAGGAGCTTAACGTGTGGAAAAAGTGAGACAAAACAGGCGCTTAGAAATGTGTTTAGGAGCTAAACACTGTTTTTACAGTGTACACGATTATCATTCACATAATTATATTTAACTGTGTGTATTCTTAATTTGTAATTTGTGTCTTAATCAAAGTACAAATGTCAATAAAATGACATTTTGAACTAACAAATATGTGATTGTGATTGTGTTGTATTTAAAAAAAAACAGCAAACTAACCTCAAAGACTCCTGTCAATTCATGCACACAAACACTTTTATATAAATTTTATAATAATAAAGAAACCAATGCTAATTTGGGGATAAAATTAGACTTCTGTCTCCAGGACTGTTTATCTGGCCCTGTAAATCTCAGCATAGGGTTTTCAAACAAATCAGTGACCAATTAAATAACAGTCCTTTTATTCCATTTTACTTTTACATTGTTTTGAAAAAGTACGTTCAACCAGCAAGCAGTGATACGACTACTGTCATTCATGTCTATCCTCATGTCTTGGGGTAGATTAGCTACAGTTTTCAAGATATTCCTTTAGTTAGGAAGTTGGCCTTGAGTTTTATAGGAATATAAATTGGCATCTCGCCTAGAAAAATGTCAAATCTGCGTGGAATTGATTTTACGACGGTAGCATAAACATATATCCTGTCGAACACGACTGATATAATGTTAAATGTTTTCTCTGTATCTCTTGAAGTCTAGCTTTTGCAACATCTTGGCTTATTATATTTCTGTATTTACAATTTTATTGAAGTCAGAAATATTTAATCATAATTTTGCTCACACATGTTTTGGATGAACGGTTGCTAGCAAAAGAGTTAATTATTTATGATCCATTTAGCGTAAAACTGCCAATCTAACAGCCATTATTCCCGCACGTACCTCGTAATTGTTAAGAAGCTTTTCAATAAATATTTAAAGTTGTTTTTGTGCAGCACCGAAATGTGATTTAAAACCACGGCAAAGCAAGGAAAAGTGACAAACGATTGCAAGGTTCTCATGCTAGCGGTTTCACCATGAGAATGTCCTGGGTATTAACGGTAGTTCTCTTCTCTGCCTCTGCTTTGGCAAAGAAAACAGAACCGAGAAGCGTCAAAGGTAACTTATTATGTTCATAAATTATCAAACTTTGCTGAAGATGTTGAAGTTTTTTAAATTTCAGAATTAAAAGTCATTTTAATGCGTCATATTATTCTGACTTTTTTGATAGAGACAATTAAAAGAAATACTTTATATCATTACTATCAGACCTTCGTCAATCGGCTTTATAATGCAAAAGTGAATAAGCATTTGGCAGCTCATCTAAAACTTAACATAAGTCAAGTTTGCTGGATCCGATCACGCCTATCACGTTTGGCTACCATTTCCAGGAGAACTTGTCATTTGCAGCGAAAACGACGCAGTGGACCTAGTGTTTCTGCTGGACGCCTCCAAGAGCGTGGGCTTCAAAAACTATGGACGGGTGGTCGGCTTTGTCCAGGATTTTGTGAATGTGTACGAGATAGGACCTGGTCACACCCGTATTGGTCTAGTCTACTTCAGTGTAAAGGCGACTAAATACATGGGCTTGGCAGACTTCGCGGGTGAGAAGTAGTTCCATTCTGTATTTTATAAGTTACAATTAAATAGGCATTTAAAATAACATGAAGAAAATGTGTAGTGTGTCCCCAAATATCTTAACTTGGCAATCGTGATTTTGATCAACGCTTCGTTTGTATCGGAGCTTGTTCCACGGCAGTTTTTTTTTAAGTTTGTATGTACATGTAGTACATTATGTAATGTTCTGTCATCAATAACATTGTCCATGGTGAAATGTGTTTATAGACATTTTAGTGACCCCTTGATAAGGGTGCTCTTGTGACAAGAACAAAACTGCTTCGCTACTATTTTGTTCCAAATAAGTAGGTGACTTTTATCACTAAAACGTCATTTACAAGATAGATTAGAAAAAAATCAGAGAAAAAATGCTTGACTGTACCCACTCAGCACATGGTCTGTATACAATTTCTTATCGAGAAACTTTATATTTTAAACTTGTAAAGGAACTAAACGGTTTCTAAAGAGTTTTTCTCCATCTGCCGTTTCCCATTTTAACGACAAATGTCGAATTTTAGCAGCCATATTGTAATCTTGAAACTTTATACATTTAGCACGAATAGCAATTAAATTTCCGTTATATATGAAATTTCAGTTCGTTTAATTAAACCCTTACCTTATCTTATCTTATAGTATCTGACATACCCAACATAGAGAAACAATGCATGTGCTTTATAAAAGTACGCTTCGTTATCGTCCAATATTAAGTACAGTATATCCGAAGTCTTCGAGGCGAGGCTAAATTGAACTCTTCTTTTTGTTTTGCGATTATAGACAAGCAAGCCATTTTGGATCATATCGGTCTGATGAGTGAAAAAACATTTAAGAATGAGTTGGGCGGTAGAACCAACACTTCGGGGGGCTTGGCAGTCGTTCATAGCGTCTTCCATGCAAGCCCCAGGACCGAGACTGACGCAAAGATGGTGATTCTCATTAGTGATGGGAAACCAAACTCTGACAAAGAATTAACGGTTCCGAACGCTGATAAACTGAAGGCAGACGGGATCCAGATAATGACTATAGGGGTCGGGAACTCCATCCGAAGGTACAATCAAAATCTTTTTATGTCTGCATGTCCACAGTCCTGGGTAACAAATTAGGGTATCATATTTGAAAGTCTGTCAAAATATTCCTATGTGTTGGATTACAATGGGTGTGATTTCATGTGAAAAGGGATTGATTTGTCTTATAATAAGAAGCAATTTTGTGCTCCCATCCATGTCTGTGTATTTTAAAGTTTGTAATTAGCCGAAAATGACACTCAAACAGCGCTTAAATCGGGAACGCAGACATACCAGTCTGATTTGCAGTTGTCCATTATAGAAAAGAATTAAAGCTCTCAGATTAGTATTGACATGGTTTTGGTCATCCCGGGAATAACTTTCGGCAGACACACTAGAGAAATACAAAAACTGTTCTTATTTGCAAATTTTGATGGTTGAAGAAGACGGGTTATTGTTCGTAACCATTGTTTCTGTTTTCAACTTGTGTGTGATCCCCCATTCACATTAACTATACACATCGTTTCGGGATTTAAATATCACTGCTCTTCATAAAGCAACAAAGGCGTAGGGAAATCCTGTCATCTGAGCGTGTTTACACATATATTACATATATGACTCAATTCTGTTTCAATTCCTTTAAAAAAAGGAAAACCAAAGCTAGCGTATAGTTTCGTTTCCCCGGTCACACGAGACCAATTCAACTAGCTTTATCCGTTTTCCGATTTTTTAAAAATTATATTTATCAATTAATTTATTATTATTATTATTATTATTCCTTTTTGACGTGTAACGCACGAAAGACAATTTCATATCATCGCTGTTTAAACGCCGATTCAGGATCTCTTCCCTGATAAATTTTATGTGTTTATTGTTACAATTTCCAAAATGTATGAATATCATGCAAAATACGATGCATATTCTAAGCGGAAAGCGTGCTCACAAGATTGGCACCATGTTGAAAGTTTGATGCCAATGTCCCATTGTTGTTACCCAGTATCGTGGACGTGGAGATGTATAGAACTTGGACTGACATGTAGTATTCTTGAAAAGATAGAAGGTTCCTAACGACTTGCAGCGCTGCTTTCCATCATTCCTTAATGAGATGAATTTAATTGTCGTTTCAGAGACAATCTTGAGTTGATCGCCTCGGAACCATTCGACAGCTACGTTTTTACCACAAAGAACTTCAATGATTTGATCTCCAAGACACAGGAACTGATCGCGACAGCTTGTAAAAATGGTAAGCAGATGTGACGATCGAAACTGAGGGTTCGTGCCACAGAGAGTCCAAACTCCATTTAGGTTAGGGTTAGCCTGACGTAAGTGGGTCAAAATGTAGGACGAGGTTTACCTGAGCAAATTAACGGGAACCGGACTCTCTATCATGTGAAACTCTCCGTCGCGTCCCACCTGGCTTCATTGGTAATGATTGAGAGACTCAAAGTGGAAGAGAGGTCAAGTTTATGTCACCATTATTTTACATTATTCCCTTCTTTTGTGACTTTATTGCGAATTTGGAACTTTCGTTTCTGTTGCAGTCGAATACTTAAAGTGTCCACCTCATGAGAGGAGCATGCAGATTCTCGCAGAACAGCACGCGGCAATCGATGAGGCTATAGCCGACTTACAAAACGCCAAGGACCTGCTGTGGGAACTGGATCACCGATGCAATGGTAAACTAAGTTTTGAAGCCAATCTTAGATTTAAAAGCTATTTCTCTGACAGTTGGTGACCATTTTAGATTTATCAAATTGCACCATAATGATTCTAAATAGTAAACGGATTTATATTCATAAATTTCTCGTGCATAATTGGTATGAAATAATTATATCAGCAAAGATTATGGGCCCTTTATACTAGGGTGAACATTTCTATAGTAATCCAGACCATCTTGGTTATTTGTAAACGAGATTGCGATTTCAGTCAGGCCTATAACATGTACACAAACAAGTTTATGTGCGCACGCGTGTGCAAACGTATGTGTGTATGCGTGTGTGTGCGCGCGTACGTCCGTATGTAAAAAGTTTTGACAAGATTGAAAAGATCAGCCATTCTGCTATTTTCCAGTGAACCCGTGCCCCAGTTGTTTCGTGCGTAATGATGACTTCAAATCCTGCTACATTTTCGTTGCTGAGACAGTGAGCTGGGCTGACGCCGACCGACTGTGTGCCCGCCTTTACGGGGCCCGTCTGGCGTCCCTGAATTCCGCTGAAGAATTCAACTACATCAAAGGCGAGCCCTTCAATGACAGTGGTGTCGCTTCCTCAGGTAAACCTTCCTTCCTGTGCATATGAAGTGGACCACATGTGGAAAGACACAGTAAAATCACTGGTTAAGGCAGATTTTACGATGATAAACGCGGGCACTTCTTTCAGTGGCTCTCTCTTAAATCACTCGAGGTATTGAAATTTTACCTTGATACAGTTGCAGGGTTGTTCTTTCAAGAATAATTAAATTGATTGTGACCTTAACTTTGAAAGGAGGTCAAGGTAACCATCTCATGAACATCTCATAAGAATTATCCATGTTATGTTCAGGACATATTTTTAACTAAATTCTATTATCTATACTGATAAACTTTTGTTTTTCTTTAGTTCGTTTAGCTACTTTTGAAGACATTTATATTAGAGGGGGCGTATATAACTAAAACTCCCTATTAAAAGTATTACCAAAGACTTCACAGACTTGGTCAAAAAGGTTTTCCCACCATAAATCCCATGTGTTTGTGTTCATCCCATTGGCAAGAGGTGATTTGCAGATATGCAATGTTCTGAGGATTAAGCAACGATCTTTGAGCCCTTATATTAACCCTACTGAGAACCTTGATGTGTGCAATACAGAAGAGAATCAATCCCCCCCAAAATTTGGGCCATCCCCACAAAGCTATTTTAAAAGAATGAGACAATTTTCCACAATACAGAATTCTTTCCCTTGCTGAAAGCATGGCGCACCGCAGGAGATAATTGAAGTACGCAGTAGACATGGACGCTATTAGACACGTGGCTTTTAACGAGCACATGCTTATGCTCATTGTTTGTACATTTGGTGTTGTCTTTTTTATTTTAAGGACATTTTTTCACCTCTGGAAATCATTGTGGAACACCAGATTCCCGAGATTTAAGGGTTGCATGCTCTAAATTTAATAACTGGTAAAAATATGGAAATCTTCCCCGTTGTTTTGCATTCTGTACCATGATTCGTGTCAGGTGTGGTATCTGGAATAAAAAAAATCCTGTTCAAAATGGTTTACAGATGTGAGGTGATCATTTGTAAGCAAAAATGCACAGTATCAGAGGTGGGTCAACCTTTTTGACTAAGTCTGTATGTAGTACACTGCCTCATGGTCAGTTCCCCAGTTTCTAATACACTGTTACTAGTAGTTAAGAACAGAGTGTTCAAAACCACAGCTGTGTTTCTGCACGTTTGGCGTTTGAAGATACAATACAATACAATACATGCATTTTATTTCATGTGGGGTATAAATTGAAAGGAAACATTAGCTTTGCAGCTATTCACTGACTGGGTAAGGACAAACATTTCTGTAAATAATGCAATATTTACACATGAAGTCTAGTAAGACAAAAAAGACTAAAAATATACAAATGCACACAAAAATAAAATACGATAGTTCAATATTGCCCTGGTTCTCTTTTTCAGGGATCGATAAATGGTGGATCAGCGGCAACGACCTGATGGAACGCGGCACTTTGATGTGGGCGGGGGATGGTCACTCTGTGAAAGTCGACGTCACTGGGGACCCTGACACTGGTCGGTGCGTCTTCTTGGATGGTGCACACAACCTTAGGATGACAAGAGGTGCTTGTGGTGTGGCCCATGGTTTCGTGTGCGAGCGAGGTTTCTAAGATCGATATACATTGATTTACCCTCCCAAAAAGAGTCGATGGATTGGGTTACGTTTTTTCAACAAGGTTTTCTTCAATTATAGACGATTCTTTCTACAACAGTACTGGACTCTCTAATTACCGTTTTCTCAAAGTGCTTTTCCTCGGTTTATCGCGGTTTTAGAGGTACGTGTAAGCTGTATTTGTTAAGATGCTTGTCTACTAGACTTTATATGCATAGTCTAGACCAGGGGTTTGTGACTTAGACGTACGTTCTCAGTGTTGACAACTGCTGTATCTCCCTTCACTGAATAATGACAGTTGCAAAGCTCCTCCATTGTTATGCGTAGTACAACATTCATTTACAAAGGCTTTTGAAGCCTGCCGCCAGCACAGCCTTCTCGATGACGCCTGCGTAGTTCAAACGTTGCATTGTACTCATTGCCTCTTCCTTAATAAACTAACGAATATAGACGGTGTCCATATTGTGACGACGTCTGACCTCGTCCAGTTTGCTCGTTTTGTTGACACGGAAAATTGAATTGTTAATATTAAAAGGACACTTTTATATTTTTCTCGGAATAATAACAGGAAAAAACAAAGTTATGCGCATTTTCGTTAGCATATATTACGCCACAAACTTAATGTTTATATCTATAGCCGTTGGATGTATAAAAATGTAAAAAAAAAAGCAGAAAGTTTTTTTAGGGAATATACATATAGTAGTTTCAAAAAACAATTCTGAAGACATTTCATTATTTTCAATCAAATTAGATTTTATTTCTTTCTCCTTTCTATTTTCAAAATCTTCTATCGCATATTTATGCACCATGGCTCGGTTGTCTAGGCAGCATTGCAATCCGCCCTGGTTCCACATGTCCAGGGATCAGGTGACAGTAGGATCGGTTTATCCTTGGGACACACGCAGCCTCGCCAGCACAACCTGACGCACGGCGGAGGGTCACGTGACGTGCACGTGGTCGGGCACTTCCAGGCACATTTTGATTGGTCTTCCAGGATCACCAGATCACCGGGGCACTCTAAGGAAAACGGAGTAAGATGAACAAACACATACAGTTACAGCAATACTGATGGACGCTGTTTAAAAAGAATCTAAGTCCGAAAATTGGTCTTAACCTGATACGAGACAAGTCTCAACGAGAATGAGTGCGTGCGTGTTACTCTCATCAGCCTGCTTAAGTCTCTTATTCAAAAATAGTGGATGGAACCAGGTGTAACAGGAATGAAGTTCGCTAGGAGCCTTAGTCCGTTCCCCAGTACTTTGTATTACTTTGCACAGGTGTTATTCGTTCCATTCATTAACCCCAATAATTCAACTAACCCTTACCAGTACCAATCATATGGGAGCACGGACTTCCATTCCTAGGACTACCATTCCTGTAACACCAGCATATTTGAATATTAAATATTAAAACTTGTTTGCATACTTCCATTATCAGCTGGAGGGTAACGAACCGATCCCGAGAAAGCTGCAATACCCGCAATTAGCAAAATCACCAACAGGGCCCGCATTCTAAAAAGGTGCAAATAATACAGTGAATACAAAATACCACGTCACGGTATCATACCATAGATAAAAGATTCTGTATATAGTACAAACTTGGACAAATTAACGTTTTTATGTCCAAGGTACTAATAAGTTATTGTCTGGTTACCAAAACAGTTGGAAATAATACATGTACCACCCTCAGCAACACGCACTGTGCTCAGCAGAGAAGAACTCGGGCATATTCTCTTTCCCAAGCATGTTATACCCTTCTTCCACCTTTCGTACGTCCACCTGGTAGCCGAACACCAGTCTTTCTCAGCTACTTGTCAAACACATGCGCCACCTTACAGCATTTTTCCATTTACGGTGTAAAACTGAGGCAATGAGACATTACTGTACCATGAATCATATGTCCTCTCACTACGTATCTCATGGAAATAACTACTTAAATATGTACCTTTTCGCTAATCTCGACCAAATAATAAGCTGAAAGCGTACCTGAGAGCTCTCTTCCCAACACTTGGGACTTCACCAGTCTCACTGAAGTTACGTGGCAGTGTCTAGTGAACAGTTTAGTGACAACTTTTCACTATAACACTGTCCCAGATGTGAGACAGGTCATGTCTCTCCCCTCCCCCCCCCCCCCCCACCCCCCACACACACACACACTTTGACATAAACAGAGTCCTATTTCAAAAAGGCAGTTCAGAGACTTTGCTAGTTTTAAAGAATGATAAGAGATTTTGGACGAAATGTGGGGAATAAACTAAAATTGAATAAAATCCAAGAACAATTTTAGTTTATACATATATCTATATAGTGAAATACGACAGAGGCAAACTGTTATTGAAGCACCACAGTGAATCTAAATGCTGGTCCACAACCAGCTCGAGTCCATTGTTTCTACTCACGTGGATTGCTTACTTGTTCTTTTGGTTTGTTTCGCAGATTTCACAATGAAATAAACTCGTCGCCTCAGCCGCAACAGATTACAGATGCTACAACTATTGGTCTTTTATATGCTTGTCTCACAAATTACCATTTACCGTCAGAAAATTAAATAAATGTGACGTTAACGCAACCGTCCAATTTTCGCTGCAAATTACCTTAATCGGTATATATGAAATATACGATCGACTCGTTGCATTGTGCGACCTATAGAACTTTCAGTGAAACTTGTCGGCAGATGTACATGTATAATGTATGTGTATAAATTGAAAATTTTAAAGTCATGTTTAGTTAATGGCATTTCCCCCATGTTTCCTCATTGTTGTCCAATATATAAACTTGTTTCTGCGTAAGTGCTAGCATGGGGTCTCTACCATTGAGGGGCCTGGGACGGGAGGGGGGGGGGGCAGGGGCGGATTCCAAGCTGTTTTCCGACAGTCTTCCAAATTATCTTAGTTGATCCATCCTTCANGTTCCTATATGTATTCCCCCTATGTGCTGTAATGATCAATATGGTTGATTTTGTTGATTTCAGAAGCAATTTTCAGCTGTAATTACCAGGTATCGGTCCACAGGTGTTAGATACTGGTTGGTCTCCAGCTTTTACAGTCTACTATTACTAACTACTGACCCAGCGTCCCCTTCTCTAGCGTGATGGAATCATGGTAACGTCACGAAAACTTGGTTGAACCATAGCATTCAGCAAAGCAAGGGCCATAGACTGAAAATTGTTTTAAAGAGGCTAAACTTTCAAAGAAAGTCGGTTTCCAGGCATACATAGACAGACATACTCGGGATAGCATTGTACTACCAGATAGTGCCTTGTACTGTAGCCCATTGGCAGGACTGGGTTAACTGTTACAAGATTATTTTGATAAGACTGAGTCCCAGGCAGTCTCAGGCAGACCCCTCCCCAATACCAATCCAGTCTGTGCCTTTATCGAAGTTGACTGGGAGAAAAGTTCCTTTTTGAGAATGTAGTTCAGAACTTTGGTTATTTCATGGGCCATTTGGTTTTCCTCTTGATTATCATTGTACATGGTTATTAAAATACAGCAGTACAGCAGTTGTTGAGTCACTTGTACCAAATTACCTAAATTACATCATCCCAATATCATGGAACATTACCCAGTGATTGATATTAATGGAAATAATAGAACGATAATCATCCGGCCCTTGTTTTCTAAAGGACGCTTAGTACTAAGCGTTGTGACAAGAATGGTACTCCGCTGGAACCGTAGTCCGTTCCCTATTACATGTACTTTGTACAGGTGATATTCGTCCCATAAACTAACACCAAAACTTTGACTAACCCTAACCTGTACCAATATGGGACCCCGGACTTCCTTCCCTAGGACAACCATTCCGGCCACTTTTGTACAGCTCTGGCCCTGTGGGGTGTAGCGTAATCATTTTGGGAAATGAACAGATGGTATACTGCCCTCAAAGATGTTTTCTACCGATGGTAAAAGGTGCTGGTGGTTTGTTGCCGTATTGGCCAGCTCAATATATTATTATTGTAATACATATATATATATATATTGGCCTGCAGGCCTGAACTACCGTGAATAAATTTGGAACCTGCACACACAGGTGACTTAAACTTACAATCGAAGGGGATTTGCGATTATATTCCGTGATAAATATACTAAATTTAGAAAGAACAACGCCATGGTTCGCAAAAAAAAAAAAAAAAAAAAAAAAAAAGCAGTCGTGCGTATACCTAGGTACGCCCTTGTAGTTTATTGTGTGGTTTTGGTAATTCTTGATCCCGTAAAGGGAATTGTAGAAATCAATTGTTCCTTCTGTCACTGACATTGTCTCCAAATTCTCTTTAACATAGTTTTCAGTTCTTGCACCATTTTATAGATCTATGCCTTTTCCTTCACCTCCCAGACCTAAACTACATGTAGTTTTGACCAGCTGGCCTTCTGCCCCTGTAAGTCGCACCCCAAGCGAAAAAAGCTGTCACTAAAAAGCCACCAATTATTAGTCTGTTAGTTTATTAGTCTCTGTTAATTACACAATTTAGTCCAGCCTAACTACCACAACAGACAATTTGAACTACTGGAAGGATGGCACCTGTCAATAGTGGCCCATGTTAATTACACAAATGAATCCAGCACAAATACCGCAACTGACAATTAGAACTATGGGAAGCATGGCATATATCGTATTAAACTGATCCTTATAAATTATGCAAGTCGGTCCATCCTCACTTCCAGTATTGACTCTTTGAACGTTGGGACACCTATCGCAATTAATCCGTTTCGTTAGTTAGTCCAGGCCGACTACAGCAATGGATACGTTGACATATGGGAAGTTCCGTGTAATTTACTCAAGTCGGTCCAACCCAACTACCACAATTGACACTTTGAACTATGGAAAGTGTCACACCTGTCACAATTGCTCCGTATAAATTATAGATCAACTACCATAATTGACACTTTGAACTTTGGGAAGTATCACTCCTGGCACAATTGCTCCGTATAAATTGTAGATCAACTACCACAATTGACACTTTGAACTATGGGAAGTATCACTCCTGGCACAATTGCTCCGTATAAATTGTAGATCAACTACCACAATTGACACTTTGAACTATGGGAAGTATCACTCCTGGCACAATTGCTCTGTATAAATTATAGATCAACTACCACAATTGACACTTAAATAATCGGAAGCTTGGCACCTATCACACAAATTCCGTAAAGCCCAATCTATCCCCAAACCATTATTGAAGTGGACTGTCCAGTGAGGAAATGCAAATATCCTCTAGCATATAAGAGTGCAAACAAAACAGATGATCTGCGTACTAACTGATCCGCCGACTGAATACGGTCGACCATACTAAAAAGCAAGCCGCCCTATTA